CATTGATAGTCATTAGTTTTCGTTTTACTCGTTTTACCTAGCACAGAGGAAAGACTGCAAGATGGTGGAGACTCGGCCTGTGGGCTGTGGTTTGTTTGTTTTTGGTTTGTTTTGGTTGTCCTTGTTCTTTTCTCCACCATCTGACTGTTCTTCCCTTCCTTCAACGATGACCTGGGCACCATGCCCACACGGCGTCCGTACTCGTGGAAAAAAAAGTATCCAGCAGCTCAACAATCCTCAAGGAGTGGCAATACCGCCACCCTTGCGGGCCTATCGCAGTAAAGCCAGCATCCAGTCGGACATGGCGGACTCGCGTGGTCGAGTGGAAGGCTTTAGCTTCAAGAATACCGGAGTCATTCACAATTGAGCCCTTGCAGCGGCTTATTGTTCTCTAAACACCGAAAAAGCACTTCTGCACAACACATGGAGCTGTGTTACCGTGCCTGCTAAAGTGGTCAGATTCAGCCGAAGGAAGCTGTCTTCTTCCCCGTCTGGATGCTGGAAATGGCACGGTTCGGTTCGCGCCTTCTGCCATGTGGGGTCCGATTCCGGCGTTGGCAGTCTTCTTTTGCAGACCCTGCAAAGTTTGACTTTGAGCCAACGTGAGGGTGCAAGCAGACTGTGCGCCAAGCACAGTAGGCTGAATGGAAAGAAGACAGCTTCGATTGTACCTCACCACACTGGCGGGCACGGTGATACAGCTCCAGGTTCAGGTCAGCATCACCACACGTGGTATGTTAGAGGAACACCCAGAAGAGCATCTGCCGTGCATCAGTCCCATCGAAACGTTTGGGTGTGAACTCACCTCAATGCGGACACTCAGGTGGCGCTTCAAGACCCGCAAAAAAGAACTTTGGAATGCCAATCACTTTTGTCTCATCGTGCACGAGTGCTTTCTGTGTCTGGAGAAAAACAAGCCTCTTCAAGGGACTTGATTGTAAAGACTGCCTGAAGGCAATTCGAGTCTCTGTTTCAACCAGCAATTCTTGAAGCCAAGACCTTCCACTCGACCAGCGCGAGTCCGCCACGCCTGCTTAGTGTTGGCTTTAGTGCAATCGGTTCGCAAGAGTGGCGGTATTGCCACTGCCTGCGGATCGTCAAGCTGCCTGATGCGGTTGTGACGTAAGGATATGCAGCTTTCCAAGGTTACTCCCCACAGGCAGCCGAAGGGTTCTGGAACCAGCAAGTTCCAGGCACTCCGTCCTTTGCTCGTAAGGTCTTCTTCAATTCCCTGTTTGAACTCAATGCAGTTTTTCCTGATTTCGTCAGGTGCAGAACACCAAAAAAGGAGTTAGCTTCATTCTTGCACCCACGCACGAACATCTTCTGGAGTACCAATGGCAAGGCTGATGAGCTTGGATGGAATGAGAAACCAAAGGACCGAATGGTTTGCAAGGACATGTGCTTCAGCCTCTGTATGTTTGCAAAGTTGTGACTGAGACCAGCAGGGTCGGTGTGAACAAGGGCATGGAGGCCAGAGGTGGCACGACAAGCGCAACTCAGGCGAGTGACGCGGGCTTCCACTTCAAGGACACAAAGCGCCAAGCCCCTAGTGCACCAAACCGGCACACCAAACGGACCCTAGATGGCGACCCTACACATGCGAAGCCACTGCCACGCTCGTAGCTAGAAGTTGCTGGGTGTGTTCAGTCAGCTTTTGGCTTGGAAGCAGCTTCTGGAACTGCCACTGCGCGCAGGAAACACGACACAGTGCCACCACGGAGCCTCAGCCACTCACTTTGCTCATTTAGACTCGCACGGACTTGAGCCTGACCCTTGGTTCTGGCTTGTTGGTTGTTTTGGTTGGTGTTTTTTGTGTTGGTGTTTTGGCTTGGTGCTGCCTGTCTTGATTGTCAGGCTCATCTCACGCACCCCCCATCTGAATTCGACTCGGTGACTTGTGCCTCTCGGCACACATAGCGCCCATACCCGTGCAAAAAAAAAAAAGAAGAGCCTCAGGCACTCACTTTAGTGGGCAGGCGGCCAGCAGCACTGCGTCCACGCAACACCGAACTCCCCGTGAAAGCACACAAAGAAGTCAAGGAGAGGATCACACAATGGGCTTTCGCCCACAAACAACTTCCGGCAGCTCATGTGGCATGAACCAGTGATGAGCTGCTCGTAATCCGATGGGTGCCTTCAGGAGGAGAGCTCGGTGCTCCGCAGGTTATCCGCAACACCACCTGGGCTTTGTTTCGGATCGCCTAGAAGGAGTCTGAAGAATGGTTGTCGTGGGACCGCTGGAACAAAGGCCGATTTCAAGTCCATATCCTGCTGGGCTTCTTCGCTAACGAGTATATCTACACTTTCCATATGCACTCGCATTGGAGAGTGCATGTGCGCTTTTTGTTCCCATACTAGACCCGTGGTTGCGATGACAACCTTGGCTTTGGGGATAGCTGACGCGTAGTTTTGCATGGCAAGGTCGTGTGGAGTGCTCGCCATATTTGCGACAGCTTCTTCTCTTCCGACAGGTCTGACAAACAGTCAAGCGTGTTCCGTGTCAAGATCTAAGGAGACAAGGAGTTTGGTGATTGTCCGACCCGCTGGATTTTCTTTGTGGACAACTCCAATCTTCAAGTTCGTGGTGATGGCAATCCACGCTCACACGCAAACATGACACGGCCCCACGGCGCCAAACCTTCGCTCAACATCTCCCCACCCTTCTTTTCTCTCATCCAAAACTAAGACAGACCAAACAAACACAAAGACTCAAGGCGCTAGGTCGACTCACGGCGGATGTCCACCACAAGCATTGTAGCAAACAAACATGCACCATGCGTGCAAGTTTTTTGCACGGGTCGAGGCGCTATGTGTGCAGAGGATGCGCAAGTCACCTTAGGCTAGTAAGAGAGATACGAACCAAGCAGCAAAACCGGAACCAGAACAAACAACGCCAAAACAACAAACCCAACCCACCCAAAAAGGAGCAAGGTTCGTCCTCAGGTTGGCTGCGTCAGCCAGTGGAGAAGAGTGAAACAAGGCGAGACGAAGGGGCAATGAGTTCATCCTTTACACTCAGTACTTCACGATCTGGGCATTGTCCTTTTTCCTCGAAAGAATCTGTGAGATTGGTGCACCGCTTTCGAAATCTGTTGCACTCTTCGTGCGAGAATGTGCGATGAGGTTTTCTGTTTTGCAGCCGAAGTACCTTGGCCCGGGGGACTGAAGCGGCACCGCGCATTGTAATACAAGGCCCGTGCCGTGCTGAAGTGGTACCGAGACGGCAGCGCGCGCTGTAAAAAAGGAGAGGTACTTGGGTTGGTCATCAAAAAATCCTGTTTTCGCGATGCCGCTTTCAGCTTCTGTGGGAAAGAAGATCTGTTTGACGATACGCTGCAGAAGACAAACCCTCCTGCGGCAACTGACAATCTAATTTGATGAACAGGCCATGAAGAACACCAACAAAGAGAAGCTACCATGCTTCGCGGCCCAAAAAACAACTTGAACAGCCACAAGCTGCCGCAAGAAACAGAATGGAACGCGCGCAGAGAAGGCTATATTCTCTCCCCAATGGAAATCAGCGCGGAGTTGGTTTGCAGAGTTTCCACCTCAAGCATGATGACCTGTGCATACCGCACACACGCATCAATACTCGTGCAAAAAAGTCAGCATCCACAAAGCACAGCTGGCGCGAGAAATGAGACCCTGCACATGTCCATTGTCAGTGCGAGCTGCCGTGCACAGCTCCTTTGAAAATTCAGCTGCTTGGGGGCAAAACGTGAGCGTGTCACCCGCAGCAATGAACGCAAAGAGCGAGTCCAGACTCTGGAGCATGGCACGGGAACAGAGTTGATTGGGATGGGCAGGTGCGCCGTTACTCCCAGTGCCGTGGGCCGTTGGCTTGTGCTCAGGTGGCATTGTGATTCTGCCAGGGCAAGGAGTTGAAAGCTGACTGCTCTAGATGTCATCACTGTGAGGCTTGGGAAGTTCCACTGAGCCTCTTGTGACATCCCATGACCGCGCCACAGAGCCCTTGACAGAGTTCAGGATGTGGAAGAGATCTGGGCTGTTGTTCCAGTCACCCACGAAAGGCTGCTCGGAAGAAGAGAATGAAGAGTACCTGAGTGGCATGGCAGCATGTGACCACAGTCCCACTGGATGGTGGAAGGGAAGTTGAGATTCCAGTGGAATATTTGAGCGCAGAACTGGTGCCAAGAACAATGGATGAAAGGTTGCTCACAGCCCCTCCACCATTTGAACCACCAGATGAATCAGAAGTAGAAGTTGAAGGGCCAACAAGTCCCAATTGCGATGTAGATATGACAGACGCAGCAACAGTGAGAGCGACTGGAGAAGGATAAGCAACAGATGGACCAATAGATGTTGATGAGAAAATGGACACATTGAGGTCCAGAGCTTCATTGCAGGCAAGAGAAGAGTTGTTGAAACTTGAAGACAGTGTCGAGTTGTACAATAGAGTTGGTGACACAGTGAAGCTGCGAGAACTGTACGAAGAGCTACTAAAGGTGGTAATTTTTTCAATGATTGACAGTGTGAGAAAAAGGAGACAGACAGCATTAACTCCGCCACCAAAGGAGGAGTGCGTAGACTTTTCGATCACATTCATGTTTCATTTTTACACTCCGCTAGGCCGCTAAGGTTCGAGAAAAAAATGCCGTTTTCGCATAAAGACGTATTTTTCTTGGACACTTGCCTTCAACTTCTCATGTAGATTGCCAGAGTTCCCTCCAAACGTCGCTAAACTTGTCGATGCTGGAGCGAAGGAAGTTGACTTTCCACTCGACTTTGCACCTTTCATGCGGTCGTGGTGAAGTGAGGGATCTGCTGCTCCCCGCTTGAACAGTTGCGCGCGTGCTTTGTCGGACGCACGGCAATAAGACAAAACACGTTAAGTGTGTGACTTGCTCGACATCATTGATTTCTTAGTTGTTGTTTAAATGTGAGAGACAAATCTGGGGCACGTTGCCCCCAAACCAACCACAAAGTTCCACGGGGGTTTCGGTGCTATGTTGTCATTGCGAGTTTTGCTGAATGGCGGCTCAAGTGCACTGGTTTGGGCATCAAGGTGCTGCAAGCTTGCAGCCAGGCCGCAAGTGTACCTGAAGTCATTCAATTGCCGTGCTTGATGCTGACAGTCTGGGGGAAAACGCAAAAATTGGATCAAACATTGACTTGGCAATTGCACACAAGCTGTTGTAGCAATAAGTTAAAATGGTTTCAGTGGTTAAACGCGCAGTCGTTCACAACACATTTTGCTGTTTCCAGGCCCCATGGGTCGGCGTCGCAGCGAGTTTGCGCCTCAGACACCATTTTTCAACGGGTTATTTGAACGAAATAGGAGTCGGAATTTGTCTCGAAGAGGGTCTCAGGTACAGCTATACGTGTTTGATCAGGCCTTCCAGTTTCTTGCTCCCAGAAATCTTACAGACATTCTAAGCCAGAATCAGAATGCAACAAATTTTCCCAGGTCAAGGTCATACAGCTACTACAGCGATAGCCGCAGCCCTTCACGTGATCGCAGACGTCGGTGAGGATCTTAGCTGCTTTAAACATGATATTTTTTGTCAAGTCATCTTCAAATGCAATTTCTTGGATTTCTTTTTGCAAACAACCTCAAATAGAAACTGAGTGGCCTGAGACGATTAAAGATTCCAAGCACTCCTTGCTGCCCAAATGTTTGACTATTGCATCGTTGCAGTCGGCGGCGCTCCCGGCGCCGGCACCGTGGAAAGCGCTTGAGCACTGTAGACAGGCCATGGAAAAGTCACATGCTCACACATGCCAACAAAGCGCAGTCAGAGCAGAATGTGCTGCAACGATGCTATGCTTAAAGATGTTTTGTTTGAGTGTCTTCTCGTGAGAAGTGTACTGGAACTTTTCGTCTCAGATTCATCCGAGAGAATGAACTGAACGAGTCGGCTGCGGCCAGACTACGCGGTGCCACGAAAGAGGCGAGGCTGTTGGGAGGAGTCGCTGCTGACTTCCCCAGACCTGTATTGTTCCAGGAACAAGAAACTATTAGTAACCAGGGCATTATTACTAGTAGCAAGAATGCTACTAGTGGTTCCTGGCATTGCTACTAGGAACAAGAAGCTACTAGTAACAAGGGCATTACTGGAACTCTGAAAGATTCTGTACTTTGTCGGATGCCTGTCATTGTCCGGTGAAGACCATCCACTTGTGTCAGGTTCGTGATGCCTGCATTGACCAAGGCTGGAATGCCACTTGGAATGGTGAGACTTTGCAAGGAGTCTATTCTATTTGTTGTTTATGTTTTAAAGCATGGAGTGTGATTTTCGCAGGAGACAGGCCGATTTTAGAGTGAAAAGAGAGCAGTGTGGAAGGTTGAGGAAAGGGGGCGAAGGGATAGACTGCGGTTCAGCGGGGTTTCCGCCTTTGCAGTAAGCAAACAGTAATTAAACGAAGCAAGCAAAGTGAACGAAGGCTTTGATGGCATGACGGAAGCAAGACTCTGGGAACTCGTGCGAAAATTGCCTACCTAGGTGATCGAGAATGCGCGCAATGCCAGCGCCGTGGTGATCTCTCGCATTAAGCCAGTTCGGCAAGAGTTACACAGAATTGATGTACTGTAAGACTTGTAGCGTACAAAACTATCCTTGTATTTGTATTTAATCAGACATTAACATAGTTTATACTCTGAATACGAATGGTATTCTGGCGACTCTGCTGTTACATGCAACCATGGAATGGGGCTAGATTAGAAAAAGCACCGCAATGCTAGATGATGAAGCACCGTGAAAACGACAGGAAGATCGAAGATGGCATGCGGAAAAAGGCGGAGCGGAGCCGCTCGCGGCGCTCGCGCTCCCGCCGCTCCCGGCGCTCGCGGAGCCGGCGCAGCCCGAAGCGGAGCGGAGCCGGTGGAGATCGCGACAAGAAGGAGAAAGGCGAGAAAGGCGCGCCGAGCCCGAGAGGTAGTCTAAAATTTGCAACGTGGATACAAAGAAGAGAAAGAGGATGTATGGTGCAATTATGAACAAGCGAAAAGAAGACCCATATTTCAACATGAAGGAAGTTCAACAGAAACAAGGAATATCAAGAAACTAGACAATGTAAACAATTTTCTGGAAGACAAGCAACGTATCCAGAATTGCAGCTGAAGAAAGACAACGGGAAGGGATTGAATGTGAATGAACACACAAAATAATGAGGCTTGAGGAGGGGATTCAATGTGTCCGAGATCCGGACGCCAAACTCATGGCTGTGCAGGGGATGAAGCGAAAGATGGAGACGCGCAGCTTGGTATCTAAACCCCACCAGTCGTTTGCACACGGGACGGAGAAATCCCTTGGCTTGCTGTCATTGTGTGCATGTTCAGAGCTTTTTGGCAAAGGAATTCCAGCAAAGGACACGAGCCATGAGATGACTTGGGCAGTTCCGCAAAATTCATCACATCTGTGAGCATGAAGAGATAGGACTCAAAGCCAATTCCCTCTCCCCCGAATTGCAATCACTCTGGACCCACAAGGCTGGCAAGTTGTTGCGTTGATGATGGCTTTGATTTTAGCAAAACAAGCATGTAACAAACATGTCTGTTTAACAAGAAGAATCCAACCCATTGAAGGTAAGAGTATGCACCTTGGCTCTTCATCAAGCTTTGATAGTTGTTCTCATTCAAGGCTCGTGAACACCTTTCCGCAACCAAAACCAAGTGTTTGGATGAAGTTGGAGATTCTCTTATCACTCAGGTCTAATACCAAGGGTGGCCGGAAGAAAAGTGGCAGCCGAAGCCGGAGCCGCTCATGATGGTAGGACTTCCTTTGCATCAGTTCAAAACAGTTTTATGGCCCGGAACCGCTTTATACCTTACTTATATATGTTTCTGCTCTTCTTTGATTTGGTTGTGCTTGTTGCATGGGAAGTTTCAAAGCGGTGTTGGTTCTAAGCTTGGCGTCTCACAAAGAGGTATTTTCCTCAGGTGAAGAAGTGCAAGAGAATTGGCCTTTCGGAGAGCTCCGTGACAGTCCAAAAACAGAGGTACAAACAGATTCAAGACTGGATTTCTCTGTTTCCTTCTTCAAAGTCCTCAGTTTCGACTGGTTGAGAGTGTTGCGCACAGTTTCGAGGGAACACACGAAGCGTTCGGAAGAGTTCTGCTTGTACGAAGCGTTCGGCGGGTCTCACGGCGGATTTGATCGACGCTGCGGGGGTGGATCGCGCTATTAGCTGAGTGACCAGTGACTCAGTGACAGCATCCACAAAAAGGAGAATTGAGAAAGCCCGTCACTGACAAAGAGGGCTTCATGTGCGAGAGTTTACTCTCTTGGATAGAGTTTCCTTCGAGCCTTCGTTTGCAAAGTTTCTCAGTCGAAACACGAGAAGCGACAAGAAGCGAAGAGGAAGCAACAAACATGTCGATTTCAGTTCCCGATGCTAAGATCCTATATCGAAGGGAAGCCAGATCCCGAAGAGCCCAGAACTGAAGCGAAGCAAAAGCGAAGCAAAAGCCAATCAAAAGCGAAGCAAAAGCGAAGCGAATGAAATTTTGATCAAACAACTCCATACGCCGACCTCGGGCGATGGAGCCATGGAATTCTGCTTCACTCTCAGCCGGTCAAAAAATATCTTTGACTTGTGAAAGGTAAGAATTTGCTTAAATCGACAGGACATTCCGGTTTATGTTCAATATTTGACAGCATTGCCTAATTCTTTGAACAGTTTAAGGAATCTTGTTTTTTTGAGAAGCTAACAACTTGAGGTTTGGTGTTGCGATGACCCTGGGAAGCTCGGAGTATTTTATTCTGAGCCAGATGCATCTTTGGAGTCTTCGAGATCTGTGGTATTCTCGAGGATAGAAGAAGCCGTCGACATGGAGAGTGCTGCGTCCAACTGCCATTTGTCCGAAAGACAGACGAGAGACTTGGACTTCTGTGTGAAGCTCAATTTTCTCCACCTTGCAAGAAAACATGCCCATGCTCCATGTAGCTTCCTTGCTACTTAACCCAGCTACTTAACTCCCTTTGCCTACCCTCCCCGAAGAGAAAGATCGAGCTTTGAAAGGCCGCTGGTCGAACCTTGCTCCAGAGCTTTGGGGGAGAGTAGCAGCTCGACTTGGCCCACAGCCGTTGCTTGGCATTTCAGTTTTGCCGTTGCTGACAGATTTCGATTCCGCCGTCGGCTTTCTGACGTTTCCAGGTTTATGCGTCCTAGCCTCAGAGATGGCTCAAAGAGCTGACTCCGCTCGCTCCTGTGCCTTTTCCTCTATTTTTCGTTTCTTTTGGACCCTTTTCTACACAGATCCTTTTTCATCAATTTTTCCTTCCTTTCTTTCTTTTCGCACTTTTACAACTCACATGGACCACTGAGGGCTGCTCACCTGTAGCCGGGGTCTTGTGTTGCGCCACGAGAGGCCAGCCTGTTACATTCATAGCGAATCAAAGGAGCTGTAGCCCCTGCCATTCTCCGCTAATATCCATGGTCCATGAGTCTATGGAACAAACGTGACAGGGCCCGCCTTTGGCACTTCTTCTGCCACTTTGCCGGTTATGCGCGGCGTTGTGAAGAAGGCCTTTAGTTGGATTGAAGCTTGAGAGCTTCGTGCTTGGTTCCTGCTTGGTTCAAGACCATGTCTCAATGCTAATGGACATTCGTTGCGAATATACAAAGGAGGTGAACAACCTGAGCGGCCTCCACTGGACTGGCAACTGCTCTTTCGTCAGAATGCGCAGGAGCTCGGTCGATTGTGACAGGAAGCGGTTCACATATGTCAAACATTTTCTCTATATTAAAGTTTTTTGGAGCTCGGTCAGGCCGCTTGATGGCTTGCATTCTTTCACTGCGTGCAGCTTCCTTGTTGTCCAGGCGCAGCACCACCTCTTCTGCTGGGTCAGAATAGGCTCTGGTGCACAGCCTTCGTTCTGCATATTGAAAGAGCACTACCAGTTTACCAACCTTGGGCAAACAGCAAGTTTATAGACTTGCTTCTGTTCCCAAGGTGCAGAAGAGCTGAGAATAGCCATTCCCCAGGAGACTTTTGTTTGTGTTTGAAGATGATTGGATTTCTCTGTCTTGAATGAGGGTAGGTCTGTTATTCGATCCTGGATGCCCTCAAGCAAAGCTGACATGAAGGTGATGAGAAGCATCCACATAAGCAGGAAGGGTAGAATGCATGGGCCAAGCTTCTTTTATGGTTGTCTGGGCAAACACACGGCTTGGGTGGCATTGAAGGATTTTATGCACATGAAGGCCTCTTTTCCTCCTCCTCCTCCTCCTGCTCCTCTTCCTCCTCTTCCTCCTCTTCCTCCTCCTCTCCTCTCTCTCTCTCTCTTTTCCTCCTCTTCCTCCTCCTCTCCTCTCTCTCTCTCTCTTTTCTTCGCGTAAGGATGATGCAATTCCTTACGTGGACCAAGATCAGGTTTGGGCTGACAGCAAAGATGTCATGCATGATGCACATTACACCTTCATATCGCCTTGGTGTTGAAAAGCTCGATCAGTGTTTGAATGCACTTCGTCAACTTTACTTTATCTACTACTGGACTTGCAATTCGTGCGGTTTGATTCGTTGTTACACCGAGATTGCCAGGGTTTGTGCGCACCGGAGCTTCTAGCCCAGCAGCTGCGCAACTTGCTCTTGAAGGAGCCAACTGAACAGCATTGAACATTTGCACCTTATTTCATGTAAAAAATAGCAATGGCCTCCAGCTTACTAGCGATGGCTCCAACCTACTATACCTTGACATTTTTGTTAATTGATGCCATCTACATCCTTGAAGAAGACATCACATGCTACTAGAAGCAAGGACGCTACTAGGGGCTCCTGGCCTTACTACTAGGAGCAAGAAGCTACTAGGAACAAAGGGCATCGCTCCGAACGGAGCAAGCCGAGTGGTTCGAGTCGACGGATCACACTTTTTGGAGAGGAATGCTCCTTCCGACTCCGGGACTTGATCGTAGGGCGGCCAGGCTTGAAGCTGAAAGCACTGACTTGCAGTGGAAGCTTTACACATTGTAAAGACTACGTGGAGAACATGCATTTAACGCTGCAGGTTTGGCCTCCAGGGCGGTAGGATTCTATGCCCAGGGCAGTGAGACGAAGGCTAACTTGCACAGTTACACAGCAGCGAAAGCAACTTCGCGTCCTTTGGCCGTGTCCTTCTAACTGGTCTTCCTCTTGTTGTGTTTCTTCCAGGTGATGGTAGAGTTTCTTGACGACCCAAAGCTGTTGCCATGGAGGCGGGTTATAAACGCGTAGAACAAGGCAAGGATCGCCCGAGCTGCAGTTTATGAAGCACAATGAGATGCTCAAACGAATTCAAGAGATGAGATGTCCGCAAGATAAAGCCCTACTTTGAGCGTTCTCAGACCGGCTGATGGCGATGCTGGCCCCCACGGCCTAGGCTCATAGCGATGCTGGTATCTCACCTTTCTTTTTGCACCCCGTATCTTCGGCTATTGTCAGGCCGTGATGGATGGCTGGTGGAGCTACATGCGGGCCAAGTACGTGAATGGTTGCTGGCTGCAACCCTACCTAAGGATCCTAAAGACCACCAACTGGCAGTACTTGCAACACCTGTGACATTGCTTGTTGTGCGCTAGCCTCTTTGGCTCGATCCTTTGCATTGCTGAAGCATTGTGCCACGCTTGCCTTGTCCTTTTCAAGGTGGACAAACCAGCATCTACAGCGACGGTACGTGACCTTTGCAAGGTGCCAACACCGGCTGTTCCGGCTGAGGTGAACGGAAAGTTTGGAGAGCTCTGAAGAGGAACTGATGTTAGACCAAGACCATGTCGCAAACACTGAGAAAGTCTGAGAAAAAGAATTTCTGGTTGGGGAAGACAAGGGGTTGGAAGTCAGTCCCAAATGCTGCTGGGAGAAGCTTCCGGAGGGGAACAGGTAAGTGGGTTTCGCAACCGTTGCGGTTTGATCCAAAAGGAAAAGGGATCCTTTTTGTTGTTTACGGCTGATCATCCCAAGGCGGTGTCTGCTCGATTGCCAGACTTGGGTTTTCGAGCCAAGCGATCCTGGCTGGCCACAGTGCAGGCTGGACATTGGACACTTACTTCACATTGCTCCTTGTTTTGGAGTGCACTGTGTGCCTTTCATCTTGGCTCGTTCAGCCTCTTTTGCGACACTTTTGGCTTATCATTTGGGTTTTCACACTTGGCCGCCTTGGCCTGAAGACTTTAAGGATTGCGAGAAGTGTTCGTCGGACCTGGAGCTGGGCCACGAGCTCTTGCGCGATTTGCGCTGGACGCAGTCCGAATGCCTGGAGCTCCGCGAGGCCAAGGGTCTTGACGAGGACGCACTTTTTCAATCCGTCCTTGTCATTGTTTGAGTATATATTTATTTGTTTGCTGCAAACACAAAGGAGAAATCGCAAAATATTCGAACCAGACAGCAGACAGCCAGGTTCAACAACACAGCCTCATTTAAGGTTTCAGAATTCAATTGTTTGTATTTGTTTGTATACTACTCGTATGACAGGTTAGGTGGCCACCTCTCAGAGCTTTATGTCATGTTCTGGATCACATTGAAACAATGTCTTGTTTTTCAGCAAATGCATTTACAACAGTAATTGTTTCAGCAGGATTTCCGTATGGTTCAATTGTCCTGAACCTTGTCTCATACAAACTGGTCACTACGCTGGCACGGTTCATGTCTAGGTCCGGGTGACTCCGTAGAATCTGTAGATCGACCTGAAACCTTTTTTGATCAAGAACTCGTGCATGATACCACACATTGCTAAACAATAAACGAGAAAGACAACTGGCAGAGCACCCTCCAATGAGAGCCCAAGGCAGCAGCAAGCACAGCAGGTGCAGCAAGCCAGACACAAGCTGCGCAGCATGCGCAGCGCACTTGATTTGAAAGTCGGAAGTTCTATATAAAAGCGCAGCCAACTGTTAAGCGCTCCGTCCACTGCAGAGTCCACCGGCAGAGCCGACCGGCGGACGATGGGTGGCGTGTGGATGCCACACTCCAAGCAACGAGTTTGCCCAGCTTTCACCTACCTCCGTATAACTTCGG